GTGGAAAGAGTATGACTTTGCTATGTGGTTTGCAAATGGGGGGAAGCTACTGTGAGCGTGTGTCTTATTTTTAATTTACACTATAGAGTGATTTCCCCCTCAATGTCAAGTTTTTACCTTGCATGTACTGGAGTATTTATTTCATCTATTAAAACGTTATGTTTCTCAAAAAAAAAAAAAAAAAAAAAGTATCAGTTAACAAACAAGCTTGGCAAGGTCACTGGGTGAACAAACACTTAGGGACCTCGCCTGGGCCTGGCACTGTGCCTTGAGATACAGGCAGAGTAAGGCAGGTCCTCCCTGAGCTGTCACCTGGCGTGGAAAGAAGGCCTGGCCATCAGTGGAATAAGGATGTGATGGCCACTCGCCGAGACAAGACAGAGGGGCCAGAGAGACGCTGGCAGGAGGGGACGCCAGGCCTCCAAAGTCAAAAGGTCTTGGAGGGTCAAGGAAGGTTCCCTGGGCTCGGGCTGGTCTTTGGAGGGGGCATTCAAAAAACAAATCAGGGGATCACTCATGGGGCTGGGGTCATAGCTTAGGGAAGGAGCACTGGCCTCGCCTGCATGTGGCCCTGAGCTCCAGCCCCAGCTCTGCAAAAAGCAAGATCAAAGGGTAGAAACTCTGCTAAATCCAGATGGGCACTGGGGACAGAAGACACAGTGTGAGTTGAGATGTGAGAGGTGACCTGTCAGGGGCTGGTCCAGGCCCAGGCTCCAGGCCAGGCAGGACGTGTGTAGGGCTGGAGCCAGAAAACAGCAGTCAGGCCATAAAGGTTTTCACCACTGCTGAGGCGTCGCCAAGGGGTGTGTCTAGTGGAGAAAGGCTCTAGTTCCAGGCGCATTAGGGAAAGACAGCTGTGGCGGCAACAGGGAAGGCAGCATGCACCAGGAGAAACCAGAAGCAGGCACTGTGGTGGGGAGCCTCGTACCGACTTAAGCTGAGGATGGGGCTGGTTGGAGCATGGTTCTAGCTGGCTTCTGAAATAAACAGTCAAGTAGGGCTGCGGAGATAGTTCAGTAGAATAAGAGCCTACCTGATAAGCGCAAGGTCCTGAGTTGTATCCCCAGTACCAATAAAATAAATCAATTTAAAAAGCCAGGGGGTGACAACAGCAAAAGGCTGGGCATAGAGCTCAGGGGTGGAGGGCTTGCCTGGCCTACGTGAGGCTCTGCATTGAATCCCTAGAATCAAAAAGCAAAAGAAATAAAACCACAGCAACGCTGGGCATGGTGGCACACACTTGTAATCCCAGCACTGGGGAGGCTGAGACAGGAGAATCATTGCAAATTTGAGACCAGTCTGGGCTACAAAGTGAGCTCAAAGCCAGCCTGAACTGCATAGTGAGACCCTGTCACACACCCCCCAACAACAACAGGGAAGGTGGCAAGGTTACACCACTGTTAACATGATGACAGCTAGTTGAGGCTCTGGAAGCAGCACACCTGGACATCACCAGGGAGGATTCACGAAGGGTGTAGACTTACCACATGTCACCAAAACATGGGGAAATACCTGAAAGCTTGCACGCCATCAGCATGGTCACACTTACCACAGCATGGTCGCACTACCACAGATGTATCCTGCACCACCATGAATGTGTTCACTGTGTACAGCAACCGGGGACCCGTGGGTTGGAAACCAGCGGGAGCATTTTGAGGGGGGTTAATGGTGGCACTGCATTGTTGAAAATCTCCAAAGTTTGCACATTTTCACTCTTCTAAACACAATCATAATAAAATTTGTATTTAAAAGAAACAAATTTATGGGCCAGCCAAATAGCTCAGTGGATTAAAGCACCTTCAAGCAGGTGCAAAGGCAGAGGGTTCAATCTCCAGACCTGCCGTGCCAGCCCTGCCCCGGGGCATGCTGAGACAGCAATTGAGACTGGGTATGGTGGGGCGCACCTGTAATCCCAGCTCTTGGGAGGCTGAAAACAAGAGGATCCCTATGGTCCAAGCTGTGTAGTAAAATCTATACCAAATACATTTTTTTAAAAAAAAATTGTCTTCCTTAGTATAAAAGTAGTAGGATGGGATCATTGCAACTTTGAGGTAGGCAGGTATGGTGGATCTGTAACCCAAGTTCAAGCCCCAGCCTTGGGAATTTAGTGAGATCCTGTTTCACAATAAAAATATAAAAAGATGCCTGGACATAGCTCCACACAAAGCCCCTCAGATCAATCTTAGACCCAGAAAAAAAAAAAGAGCAGTTAACCATTTTTGTTTTAGCTGATGTGTAGGGCTGGATCAGGAGTCCACAGACTTCCTGCTGCCGCGTACACAGCAAATCTGCACTGTGGACACGCTCCCTGTAGCACTGTGTTCTGTGGCAGCAGCTCAGCGCCCAGCGGATGACGACAGCCTCTGCTATTTTCTGAGAAAGCTTCACTGACAGACATAGGCAGTGGGCTGAGCTTGCCTCTTGGGCCAGTTTTCACACCCCTAGACTTAAATGAACAAATAAACCCCCCAAACTGACAGTGAGAACATGCCAACTGACCGTGCAGGTGGAAGAAAGTGTTTAGTTGATCTCCTGTTAACATCCACTGTGCTCGGATGCCGTGTTTCTGCCTCACCTGCCGTGTAGCAGGGCTTCTTTGTGGCTAAGGGCAATGACAACAACTTCATTTACACGCCGACCCTCTTCACCCTGACCCAGCATAGCAGGTGCCTGCGCGCCCAGTGCTTGGTCTCCAGGCCCCGGTAGCAGTCCCACCAACCTGCAGACCCAGGTAGCTGGTAAGAAGACCGAGCCACAGGAACCTGGAGAAGATGCTGCTGCCCCCAAACACCCAGGTAGTGCCCAGGAAATCTGCTGTCTTTTTTTTCAATGCTGGGGACCTAACCCGGGACCTTGTACATTCTAGGCAAGTGCTTACCACTGATCTATGTCCCCGGTCTGCACAAACTCAGTGTCAGCAGTCTTTCTGGGCATAGCCAGAAACACCAGAAAGTGAAAAGAGCCAGCTTCTCAGGTTATGTTCCCTTAGCTGTATTTTAAGTTGGATGACTCCAGATTGCCTAAGGAGTGCGCTTTAATCTCCCAGTAAGCAACCCTAAATCCCAGAAGTTTCAGCAAGCGTGTTTCCCCAGTCAGCTCTAATTCCTGGGTTCTTGTGATCATTGTTGAAATATTAAATATTTATTAAGCACTTGTTTCATATTTAAAACTAGGCATAGTAGGGACTGGCGAGATAGTGCAGCCATCTACAGCGCCTGATTAGGCAAGCACAGGAACCACTGGTTCAATCCCCAGCACCACACACAGTGCCAACCCCCCCCCCAGGATGGGCTGAGCTGGCCACAAAATAAATAAGTAAGTAAATAAATAAATAAATAAATAAATAAATAACTTGGGGGCTGGTGAGATGGCTCAGTGGTCTAAAGCACCTACTTAGAACAAGCTTAGCAAAGCACAGGGACCGCGGTTCAATTCCTCAGCACCACATGCCAGCCAGCCCCGCCCCCTGGTGGGCTGAGCTGGCCACACACACACACACACACACACAAAATAAAATTTTTAAAAATAAATAAATAAATAAATAACTTGGGCAGACACAGGGACAGGTTCAATCCCCAGGGTGTCATGCCAGCCCCACCCCTGGGGCAAGCTGAGACTGCCCTTGAGACTGGGCATGGTGGTGCTTACCTATAGTTCCAGTGTTTAGGAGGCTGAAAACAGGAGAATCATTACGAGTCTGATCTACAAGAACCTGTAGACCCTGTACTAAATAAATAAATAAATCTAGGCACAGTGAATAACAAATAAGAAAAATATGTTCCTGCTGTTTCCCAGGAGGGTTCCTGGCTTACGAAGGGAGGCAACGTGTAGACCAGTATAGACAATGCAACGCCGCCTTGGGGACAGTGAATGGGGCTCCGTCCACGCACCATGGGATTCTAAGTGGTACAAATGCTGTCGCCAGGTGACTCACAGCAGATGCAGCATTTGGGGGTTAGAGTTAGAACCCTAACTCCTGAGCTCACAGGCTTCAGGGCACATTCTTCACATCTCTAAATCAGCATGTGTCAGGGTTGTTGGGCAGCAGGTAGGTCATCGCGCCGTAGTCATCACCAGTGGACACCACCAGGCAAAAGGACGTCAGCACCCAGATTCATCGTGTGGGGTCAGCTATGAGGGAGAAAACCCTGGGGAAGAGTGGTATCCAGAAGGACGGTGCTGTACAGAAAGCCAGAGTGGAGACGTGACCCCACATAAGAATGTTCTGCCATTAGAGGGTGCTGGTGGCTACGAGACCTTGTGAGTCACCCTACCAGACGGACCTTGAAATGGGGTGTGTTCCATGGAGTGTGAATTACAGCTCTTTTATTTGTTTGTTTGTGACAGGGTCTCTATGCAGTTCAGGCTGGCCTGGAGCTCACTTTGTAGCCCAGGCTGTTCTTGAACCCACAACAATCCTCCTGCCTCAGCCTCCTGAGCACTGGGATCACAGGTGTGTACCACCACACCCAGCCAGCTCAATATTTTAAATGGGGAGAAAATTTCATTTCAGCAGATTAGAAAACTTCCAGAGGACCTGCACAGCCACACCTCCCTGAACTCCGGGAAGCCACGTAGGCTTGAGTCTATGTGGACACAGAGTTCGATGGGAAAAGAGCTCCAGAGGGGTGTGTGATGGTGGCAGTTCCGCAGCGTGCATGTCCTTTGTGCCACTGACTTTTGCCCTTCTAAAACAGCTAACATGGTAGGCAGGCATGGTGAAACAGCCAGTGATCCCAGCACTTTGTGAGGCTGAGGCAGGAGGATCACTGCAAGATTAAGGCTACCCTGGGCTACACAGTGAGTTCAAGTCCAGCTCAAACTATATAGTGAGATCCTGTCTAAAAAATAAATTATGAGGCAGGTGATGGCTTTTTCTCACGATGGTCTGTGGATGCCACTGTGTGCAGTGCCGATATCGCCGAAGGCTCAGCTGATGCCAGCAGTGGGGAGCTGGACAGGGGGTGAGTGTAGGACTCCTGCCTCTGGCCCCAGTCTAAGCTGGGGGGTGATAGTGGGGGCTGAGGCTGTCCTACTAAGTTTCCTTCTACATCCTGTGAGTGCCCAGCTGAAGACTGGCACCCGACCACCTGTCCTCACAGTCTCTTTCTTCTGCAGTTTGCCTACCTGGGCTGCCCGGCTCATGAGGTTGGCTGGGAGTACCAGGCAGTGACAGCCACCCTAGAGAAGAGGAGGAAGGAGAAGGCCAAGATCCATTACAGGAAAAAGAAGCAGGTCATGAGGCTATGGAATCAGGCTGAGAAGAATGTGAAGAAAATCAGCAAGTTCACAGAGGTCCTCAAGACCCACGGACTTCTGGTCTGAGCCCAATAAAGACTGTTTCTGCCTAAAAAAATAAATAAATAATATATATATATATATATATATATATATATATATATATATATATATATGAAATGGCTAACATGGTACATTTTATGCTGAGTACATTTTATGCTGCGTACATTTTACTATAATTTTTCTTAAAAATAAGGGAGCAAACGTGGTTTTCCTATCTACTCACAAAACCACACAGTGACTCAACCTCGGTTTCAAGAGTTCTGGGGAAACTGCGCATCTGAGGACCTCCACAGTTCCCCGTGACATAAGACTCACAGTGGTGAGTTGTCAAGTTCATAAAATGTAAGTGAATCATCGATAACAACAGGAAAGGCAGAGATTCTAGAGATAAAACCCTAAAATTCTAGGCTGACTACTGCTGCAAGGGGACAGAGCTAGAGCTGGTGGCATGAGGGCCCCCAAAGTCCTGCAAAGAGAACACTCAGGTGGCCCCTTTCCTCTCATCCTGAAAGACCCCAGCACTGGCACCACACCAGATGCTAGAAGCCTAGAGTACGGGCAGCCAGAGCAACAGTGGTGACAAAGAACAAGCTTGCCCTGACCTGCCCCTTCCAGGACAAAGGGTTTCCCTCACTCCTCATTCCTCCACCCAGGATCTCACTGCCCACCTTCAGACACTCTTGAACCAAGCGGAGATGAAACAGCTCATGGCCAGCCCTACACTGGCACAATTCCTCTCTGCAGCTTGCACAGCCACCTGCTCGAGCTACCCACCAAAGTGAAAGCCTCAGGTGAAACACAAAGCACTCACCGAGGAACCCAAACACCTTGAAGCTTTTTCCCCCCTTTGGTTGTGCCAGGAATCAACCTAGGGCCTTGCCCATGCCATGCTAGATAAAAAATACTCTACCACTAAGCCACTCACCAGGCCTATATAAGAGATTTTTTAAAGAGCTGAGTTAACCAAGATCAGAAGTCTCAGCTGGGCATGGAGGCACGCACCTGCAATTCCAGCACTCTGGGAGGCTGAGGCAAGAAGATTGCAAGTTGGAGGCTAGCCTGGGCAACTTTGTGAGACCCTGTCTCAAATTTTAAAAATAAAAATATACTGGTGATGTAGCTCAGTGTGAATGCCCTGGGTTCAATCCCCAGTTATCGGGTTAATAATATCTCCTAGTTAAGTTGGGCTGATCAGATCTGCAATCTCCCACATAAATGAGTGTACAGTGAAAGCTAAACAAAAGAGGCAAATAGAATGCTTTCAGGGCTCCAGGAGGATCCAAATGCTCTCACAGAACTCAAGAGTCTCTCTCCACTAAGGCCAATCCTGGGTGGCAGGATTTTAGTTAGCAGAAGAATGGCGCACTCAAGAAGGACGGAACCAATCAAGAACTTCTCCAAGTAAGGTATCAAGTTAATCCACCCAGGAGTGAAATGCCTGAGGCCGTGGTCTTTATCAGCTGAAGTTGGATTCAGGTGTCCTTCGCTGCATCTTTGTCTTATCCCTTGAGTCTTCATGGCTTCCTCCCAGGCTTCCTTAGGAACCAGTGACTCACAGAGGTTCACTTACTATAAGTCTTCTGCCCATCTCCAGACAAGGGGCCTAGGCCTTGGACAGACTCACAAGGACAAATGGAAAGCCAACTGGTTAATTTAAGTCCTGTTCAGGTCTGCTTCATAGTGGTTTCCATCACCTAGTACCTTAAGAAACAAACAAAAAAAAAAAAAATCAGAGTTCAGCTCTCTCTCTGTGTGAAGCCAATGTAGGCAATAACAGATCAGCCCCTCTCCCAAAACTGCACTTAGCCTAACGCTGCATTTGAACCCCCACACTTAACTCTGGGGCCTGCATTTACCTTTGACTTCATCAAGTTGGAATTCTAAGCCAAGTGTGGTGGTGCACACCTGTAATCCCAGCACTCGGGAGGCTGAGGCAGGATCATTGTGAGTTTGAGACCAGCCTGGGCTACAAAGTGAGCCCAAGGCCAGCCTGAACTACACAGCAAGACCCTGTCTCAGAAAGACGCACACACCAAAAAGTTGGAAGTCTAGCTAAACATTTCCATGATCACTTACTGCCTTTTTGCTATCCGGACCTACAGTTATTTGCAAGGCAAGTTTTCACCACTTCAGGATGAGCCCTGTGTCTGTTCAGATCCCGGGTGCTTGAGTTCACATAGGCCACCTGCAGGAGATGGGGTCCAGGACTGGAAAGTGCCCATCTGCCAGCCAGCATGCTGTGTCCTCCGGGAGACTAAGCTCTCCTTCCAAAACAAGCAGCATTGAGTTTGGAGGATCTGAGAGCTTTAGAGGCAGAACAGTGTAAAGATTAAGAGCTTCTTGTAGACTCTAAGAGACTTAAACCTCTGCTCTGCCACTTACAAGCTGTGTGGCCAGGGCCTTTGGTTTTAGATCTCAAAGCCTCAGTTCATCAGCAGAATGAGGACCAGAATAATAGCCACATCACAAAGGTTCTTGTGAGGGTAAATAAGCTCGTGCCCATGAACTGCCCAGCATGATGCACGACACGCTGTAAACACAAAAGCAGAGTAGACCATCACCGCGGACAGCTGAAGGTGGCTGGGAACCAACAGGGTCTTCCACCTCTCCAGTTGCAAGGCAGCCAGATGCTTACTGTTGAAGCAGAATTCTTCCAGCCTTTGAGAACAATCCCCAGGAGAAATCTTTTTATTTTGCAATCGGGGCTAAACAAACATTAGCTATAGGACCAAAGCAAAACAAGTTTTATCAAGCCATAATTATCCTTGCTATGGCGACACCTGAGGGACTTTTGACCTTTCAATTCTTTTATTAGTCTACTTTTGTTTCATTGGTTTACGTTTGAAAATTTTCTAACTCACAGAAAGTAGAATGCCCCCATGGCCTATAGCAGGGCTTCTGAACTGTAGCACAAGGGACGCTTGGGATTAGATAATTCTTTGCAAGGAGAGCTATCCTGTGTATTGTAGGATATTTATAAGTTCCTCAGCCTTCACCCATAAGATACCATTAGGACTCATCCACATACCGGTTTTTACAAGAAAAGCTGGTGCTAGATATTGCCAAGCATCCCCTGGTAGGTAAATCTGGCTCCTTGAGAACTATGAGCCAGACTTAGCAACAGTTAACATCTTGCCACATTCTCTGTCCTTAGTATACACACATGCACACCCAGACTGACACACACAGACTTTTTTTTTGCTTTACTGCATGGCACTTGCCACCTAAAATACTTCATGCATCGCCTAAGAACAAAAGCATCCTCTTATACGGCCACAATGCCCTTACTGCGCCTAAATAATTCACGTGCCTTCAGTAATATCTTTCCTCTTTCTGTGCTGTTTGTAACCCACTGAATTAGCTTTACGCCCTACTTGAGGCCATGAGCTGCAGTTTCAGACTGAAGAACACAGAGACAGACACAGCACTCTTCTGGAGATCTGTAAAAACCAGACAGAGGCCATTCCTGCTGCAGAAGGGCCACACGGGAAGTCGCAGAGCCAAGCGCAGGTTTACAGGAGTCTTTCCAGCACACGCCACTCCTTCCCTCTCGGCTGTTTCCACCTTACAGAGCACCCAGGGCACCGGGAGCAGACAGGCCTGCCAGCCCCACCTTGCAGAGGACCCGGGAGCACTTCCAGGCGCCGGTGGGCACCTCGAGGTGTGTGCCCTGGCCTGTCTGCCTGGGGCCTGGCAGGGCCTGCCGAGCTGGGTGCGTGGCAGCCTGACCACATCACAGGTCCGGGCTGGGGCTCAGTCTCAGGCTCAGGCAAGCTGCCCGCCCCTTCCCTGTTCACCCAGCTCCTTTCCTTGACCTGTACTGGCTCCAGGAAAGTGGTTACAAGCTGGTCCAGAAACTGCCAACAGGCCAGAGCCAAGAAACATGAAAGTGTGTGAGTCACTGGTCATGTTTAAGTCTCCTGGCCTTATAAATCTGGCCTTTGAATCTAGCATCAGGATCCAAACAGCAGAGAGACTTGAAAACTAACACTACCAAAGTGGAAGGGCAACTAACCCACCTCCAGAGCATTCTGCCCCGTCCCCTGCTAGTCAGGAAAGAGTAAGGAGCAGGAGGCATGGGTGAGACCTCCAGCCCTGGCTAGCAAGGAGCCACTGTGCCCACATTTGCTTTGTTTTCTTATAAAGGCTGGAGAGCTGTGTGGGCCAGACTCACTAAAAAGCAGGGATTTCTCCAGCTGGAAAATCAGAGGCAGAGGTATTAGGGCAGCTCCCGTGTTGGAAGCAAAGGAATTGGCTACAGCCCGAAAAGTCAAAGGGAAACCGTCTAACGCTAAGAGACTGAGGGTTTGATAGAGGATGCAGTCAGTGTGACCATAGCCCATCACCCTAAGAAGAGCCTGGGACGCAGGTGCCACATCCCTGCAGCGACTATGGGAGAGACATACTACCTTTAAGGGGTGTCCAGGGATGGGGCATGGAAGGAAATTAGTTCACCCGGAAATGAAGAAATGCCATTGCCATAGCATCCCCTCCACTTCCCAGGGAATCAGGACAAAGGTAGGGACATTTCCAAAGCTGGCAAAGAGCAAGAACTGTGACAGGAAGCAGCTATGAACAAGGACACCACACATCTTCCCTGACTGCAAATCACCACCACTTCCTGTTATGCCCACTGTAACTCCAA